AGGGGCTGGGGATTTAGCTCAGTGGCATAAGCGCCTGCCTTGCAAGCAGGCAGTCATGAGTTCGATCCCCGGTACTGATAAAAAGGAAAAAGGCAAAAAAAAAAAAAAAAAAAAGAACAAACTATATATCCTATCTTTTTGAGTCAGGGTCTTGCTTTGTAGTTCAGCCTTGAGCTCATTATGTAGGCGAGTTCAGGCTGACCTTGAACTCGTAGCCATCCTCCTACCTCAGCCTCCCGAGTGCTGGGATTACAGGCTTGGTTTTTATCCTGTTTACTGCCAGATGTATTGATTTTCAAGAAATATTTGATTGAAATGGTATTTTTGACTGGGGACAGGTACATAAGACAGCATTCTTATGTGCTTATTTACTTACGTATGTAAAATTGAAAGATGGCCCCTTAAAAACTCAAACTCAGCTTTTTAAAATGTTATTCTCAGGGCTAGGGTATAGCTCAGTGGTAGAATAAATGTGTAGGATGCTCCAGGCCCTGGGTTTGATTTGTAGTACAATATGACCTCACATAAGTCTGACTTTACCATAATGTCTCTGTGCTAGCTCGCTGATCTGTGTAACAGATCTCTCCAAAATGTTCTGGCTTCAGGCTGCATCCACTGTTTGTAGAATCGGTGGGCTGGGAGTCAGGGTGGGGTCTTCAAGGCCATAGGCAGAGGCGCAGTGGGCTCAGCCGTCCTGGGGACGGGGAGCAGCCCAGGTGCCCTCAACAGGTTATGGGTGGGCCAGCTCCCCATGGGCTGTGGGACCAAGACTGCAGTTCTGTGCCGCCCCAGCCCTGTGCGTTCCCTGCCTGGCTGGCCTTGGAGTGAGCAGCTGAGCAATAGAACTGCGTAAGTGGAAGTGACTTGTTCCTTCTGTCACGTTTTATTCTTTAGAAGTGCATTGGTAAATCCATTTAGCACTCAAGGGAAGGGGATTACAAGTGGCTATCAATATAAAGCAGATGTTTAAATTTTGTTTAATATCAAACTATCACTTAATGAAACAGTCTTAAATACTGCTTCCAAAGATGTAACAGATGTAGGAATAGATTGATAATATCCAGGTAGAGGCTGATAGCAGCTAATACATACTCTTCAGGAGATAACGTATGCATCAGTGAGTGAATGTCATAAATGATAAATCCACAGAAAAGAAGGACTCCTCCGGCAGCTAAGATCAGTTCCATTGTCTCACCATGAAAAAACATCTTCAAGAATCCTGACAGGACAGCAAACAGCCCTGCTCCAAATTTACTGAAGTCTCTCTTGAATTGTAAAGTATATACAGTCAAACCAAGAAACACAGCAGTAATCAATATAAAAGCTTTCAGAATAATACATAACTGTAGAAGATAACTACAACTGCCACAGTCAGAGCTTCCAGAAGGGTAAAGCCAAAAGTCAGGTACAGGTTAAGGGGATGCTTAGGTCTGCTTAAAGTCAGTGCAAAGATCAAACCCAAAACTCCGAAGGCATGACTTTCATGCACAAATGTTTATGTAGAATCAAAGTATAAAAACACTGTAGAGGCTACTGGAGTAGAGAGCAGGATACTGTAGACTTTCAGAGAAGGGCCATTCAGATGTGTGGTCTGGCAGAGGCCACGCAGCTGCCATAGTTGAAGTCATCTTCTATCGAGGAACGAGAATAGCGGAGGTCAGGATCTGCCATCTCTGCTACAAAACCCACACAAACCTGGGCCAGGCCTGCGGGACTCCACTAGCCACAATTGACTTCAACCTACATTCCACTCAAATGTTTAAATTTTAAAAATTTTATTATAATAGAAGACATAGCTAAGTGTGGTGACACACACCTGCAAGTTTGAGGTCAGCAGAGCTTCTTAATGGGTTCAGTGCCCTCTTGAACTACATAATGAGGCCTGTCTCAAACAAAAAAAAAAATGCCTGAACTAAATAAAGACATACTTCCTTAAGATGGGTTACGTATGTGGGCCAGCTGCCCTGTGCTACTAGACATGGTCTGAATCCTCAAAGACTGCCCTTCGCTGCCAACACGAGATTCTGGAGCAGGTCTGGACGTCCTCTTTCCTCAGTGACTTTGTAAGTGTGGCACAGAACACAGTCGGTACAGCTGCTGGTGCTGGCAGTCAGGCTCATGCGCACATCACTGTGTGTCCTCATCCGCCTCACCCATGATGTGACCCCAGGTGACTTCCTGCTCTTCTTCGGAGTTGGAATGGCCAGGGCAGGGAATGTTTGGAACCGATTCAGGACATTGAGGCAGCCACAACAGCGCAAGTAAAGACACTCATGGAAGAGGACTTCAAGAACACCTTCAGAAAGCAGCAAGAAGTGTGTGCGAGTGAGGGGAGTACTTTGAGAGGCATTAATGGCAGTGTGTCCTCATGTAAAAATTTAGACATTTAGGGGGCTGGGGATTTAGCTTAGCAGCATAAGTGCCTGCCTTGCAAGAGCACAGTTGGGAGTTTGATCTCTGGTACCAATACAAAAAAAAAACTTTAGACATTCACCATGTTTTGAAAGTGTGAATATCTCAGGGGGTTAGGATCGCTGAGATCTATCTTATGAGGCCACTTATCTTAGCCAAGCCATTCTTTTACCTAAAAAACCTTTCCTGCTGGGAATGGTGACCCTACCTGTGAGCCCAACACTAGAGAGGCTGATGCAAGATGATCACTGCAAATTCGAGGGCAGCCTGGGCTGAACTACGCAGCAGGACTCTGTCTTAACCAAACAAAAGCCCTTTCTGGCCTAAGGAAAGAGGAAGGTGCTTGCCTGAGTCTTTCCTGATACTCATTCTGCTCTGGATGCTGGAACGGGAGTGTGTGCAGAGTCACTTAGTGTCATGTCACATCATATTCTGCACCCTGACCCAGTGCATGTGTGGGTCAGGAAAGCCTCCACAGTCACCTACCAATATAGGATAAATACAGAGCTAAAACGTTGGAACTCAAGTATTTTAACACTCATGTTCTCAGTACCTTGAATAAATAATGGGTAGCATTTGCTCAAAATAAAGTGTAGTTTTCAAAGTTAATTTTTTTCCAAAGTTAAATGTTATATTAAAAGCGTGGGGGACCTGATGGCACCCACCTGTAATCCTAGCACTCAAAGCCGAAGCAGGAGGATTGCTGCAAGTTTGAGGCCAGGCTGGGGTTCCCAGTGAGAGCTTGTCTCAACAAACCAAACTAGAACAAAACAAGAAACCTCAACATAAGGTGAATGTGTTGACACACCTAATAATCAGCACTTGTAGTGGGGCAGGAGGATTATAAGTTTGCACCTAGTCTGGCAGTATAGTGATTTAGACTCCTCAAAAAAAGAAAAGAACAAATTTATATATGTATGTGTATATATATATATACATATACATACACATATATATGTATATATACATATATACATGTGTATACATATATATATATACATATATATGCGTACATACACACACACACACATATATGGGTTTTGTTTTGTTTGTTTGAAACAGTCTCACTGTGTACTTAAGGCTGGCTGCAAACTCACGGTGATCCTCCTGTCTCAGCCTCCCAAGTGCTGGGATTATAGTTGTATGCCCCCATGCCTAGCTATATATGGTTGTGGGTGTAGTTCAGTGCAGGGGCCCTGAACTCAATTTACAGTACTAGGAAAAAAAAAAAAGGAGCATGTCATTAGCACGCACAAGGCCGAGTTCAATCCTCAGAACCAAAAAGGAAAAACAAAGTATTAAAAAAGATGTTGGGGGCTGGGGATTTAGTTCAGTGGCATAAGCACCTGCCTTGCAAGCAGGCAGTTCGATCCCCGGTACTGATAAAAAAAAAAGACGTTGATCAGGAAAAAACTACATATTTTTAAATGGTACTCCATGTTTTTAGAAAGTCATACACATGTGGAGAGGCTGTATGTCTGCTTACAGAGTGATGCCAGAGGCTGGGACTGTGGCTCCGTAGTGGTGCACTTCCCTAGAATGCAGGGTCTTGGATTTGACCCCAAGGAAGGCCTCCAAAAAGTGATGCCAGGAAACACAGACACTAAAGATCAGGCGTGGTGGTGTACACCTGTATTTCTAGCAGTGGGGAGGCTGTGGCAAGAGGATCACAGTGGTGAGTTCAAGGTAGCCTAGGCCACATAGTAAGTTCAAGGCCAGTCTGCACTACATACATTGCAAGACTCTGTCTCAAAAAAAAAAAAAAAAGTAAATAAATAAATAAATAAATAAAAACAGGTTATTTCTTTTCCTTCTATCTCTTTCTTCAGACCTTGAAACTGTATCCTGGGGTACTCTATAACTGAACCATATCCCTTGCCCTCCTTATCTTACTTGTTTATTTTGGTACTGAGGATCAAACTCATGATCTCACACTTGTAGGGTAGGCGCTTATGCTGCTGAGCTAAATCCCCAGCCCTATTTTTTGTTTTGAGACATGGTTTTTTTTTCATGCTAGGTTGGCTCAGCCTTCCAGAGTGTCGGAATCATATGTGTGCTGTACTATATCTGGCTAAATTAATCAGTTTTTTTAAAAGACAAGGACATTTTGGCTGGTCCGATGGCAGTGGGTTATCAGAACTTATTAACATTAGTGTCACTAAAGTTGGTATACCACCCCTCCACTGCTAAATTTGACTGGCTTAAAAAAAAAAAAAAGACAAGGACATTTTGACTTTTGAGAGTTACAAGCCTTTAGAATAATATTACCATTATTGGGAGGTAATTTGGGAAGTAATTATACTGTAAACAGCACCAAAAGTTGGTACAACCTGTGGGAGCTTTATGTGTAATAATATAGAAGATGTTCACTTATATGGTAAAATGAGAGAGAATTCGGAAGTATTATACTGTGTACACAGAAGTAACATGTGGGCTGATAGCAAACCATTGACCTAGCTTTTCTCCGGGTAGAATTAGGAGTCAACTTTCTGTGTCACTTGTTGCTGCAGTGATTAAAAATTTATAATTAAAATCTGTTACAAACAAAGAATAACACTTAAAAAGTCAATTTCACAATTGTTTTACAGGTGATTATATGCTTGAGGCAAAGCCAAAAGAAATTTCAGAAATTCAGCGTTTAAATTATGAACAGGTAATAAACGTGATTTTTATTACATTAAAATAAATAGTAGTTGCATTAATGAATATGTACATTTTTCTGTATCAGTGGCTTTATAAATTTCTTGGGGGGTGCAGAGGGATTTGAAGCAAGCCCTTGCTGTGTACTTTGTACTTCACTGGCCTTGAATTTACTAGGTAGGCCAGGCTGATTTAGAACTCAGTGATCAGTGCTGCTTCCTCAGCCTGACAAGTGCTGGGACTATAGGTGTGTACTACCACACCTGCTGCACTTTTTCTGTAAAAGATTAAAGAGTAAATACTGTACTCTTTGCAGGCCACCTGTGGTTAGTCCTTGCTACATATTCTTTGGGTTTGTGGTTTTTTGTTTTTTGGGTTTTTTTGTTTTTTGTTTTTTGTTTTTTTTTTTGAGATAGGGTCTTGCTCTGTAATCCAGGCTGGCCTTGAGCTCACTGTGTAGTCTAGTCTGTCCTGGAATTTGCGGCTGTCCTCCTGCCTCAGCCTCTCAAGTACTGGGGTTGTAGGTAGTGCCATTACTTCCCACACAAGCCAGATTTTTTATACATTAATTTTGTTTTGGTGCCAGGGATGGAACTCATGACCTAGTGCTTGCCAGTCAGGCGCTTATGCTGCTGAGGCAAATCCCCAGCCCATAAGCCACATTTTTTGAATCCCTGTTTACTGTTAATACCTGTGCTTGTGTAAACATTGTATTGTTTCTCTGTGTGAGAAGCTGAAAGAAATTTTATATGTATGTGTGTGTGTGTGTGTGTGTGTGTGTATATATATATGAGATAGTTGAGATACTAGTAATTTTTCTTAGTTCATTGAAGAGAAGGGTTTGTGCTATATTGTTTGGACAACTAAATGCAGATATCTTATATTCTGAGTAATATAAAGAATGCACAATGTATTAACCATTGTTATCCTCTATTTGTCTTGAAATTTTATTTTTCTCTTTAAATTAAAAAATTAAAACACATGTGCTATTTAGGATGCTATGTATGAGTAGATACTGCTCTAGGTATCTACTCCCTCCCTCAGCTGTTTAAGCTTCAGTGAGTTCGCTTCGAAGTCAGGCATGGCGGGAGGGGAGAATTCTGGTCCCCTTTCTCCCTGCAGTGACAGCCTCCCCAGCGGTCGGCATTGCGTGCCAGATGGGTGATGTCCCAAGTGCACAGCCTGTACTGACCCGTCCTTGTCACCCACATCTGGAGTTTGCGTCAGGTTAATCCTTGCTGTCATGCATCTGTGGATGTCCTATCATGACAGGACTTGGCCACAGTGCGTGGCCTTATTTCACTGCCCTTCAGTCCCTGTGCTCGCCCCGTGTGTACCTGCCACTCCCTGACCCCTGGCAGCCACTCATCTTTTTTAGCTCATGGTGTTGCCTGTTTCCAGTTTGTTTTGTAATTACCCAGGGTGTGGCCTTAGTTCTCTTTGTTTCCTCCATGTTGTTTCTAGCTTGATAACTCATTTCTATTTTTTAAATTGTAAAAATTACATAGCTGGGCATGGTGACACACTCCTATAATCCCAGCACTCAGGAGACTGAGGTAGGAGGATTGCTTCGAGTGCCAGGCCAGCCTGGGCTACATAGTGAGATCCTGTCTCAAAGGAACAAAAAAAAAATCACTTAATATGAAATATTTCCTACCAAGTTTTCTCCCCTGGTATGGAGATTGACAAGAAGAGCACTTTACTGCTGAGCTCTGTGCCTAGCCCTTTTATCTTTGTTTTGGGGCAGAGTCTTGCTCAGCCCAGGAAAGGCTGGCCTTAAATCCATGGTCCTATCCCTGGCCTCTAGTACCTGGGATGGCACGTGTGCGCCTCCACACCTGGCTGCCTACTCTTTTTTTTTTTTTTTTTCCTTTCTTTCTCTATTCTTTTGATATTGGAGTTTGATGGTGGGGCCTTCATACTAATTACACCTCCAGCCTGTTTTTTATTTTGCATTTTCGAGTAGAATCTTGTGGAGGTACCCAGTCTGGGCTCATGTGCAGTCTTTTTGTCTCAGCCTCCCATATGCTGAGATTACAGGTGTGTACCGATACATGCTCTCTGTCTCTCTCTCTCTTTTTTGCGATAGGGTGCAATTGAGGCTGGCCTTGAGCTCACTGTGCAGCCCAAGCCAGCCTCCTGTCTCAGCCTCCTGAGTGCTGGGATTATACCTAGCTCTCTTATGCATTGTTAATTGTGCTGCTTCTTAGTGTTAACTATATTCGTGGTGTCAGCTAGCAGATCTCTAGAATTTCGTGTTGCAAAACCGAACTCTTGTACCTATCAAACACCTCTCCCTGTTTTGTACTCCTCTCAAGCCCATGGCACCATCATTTTGCTCTCTGTTTTGTGATGCTGACTGCTCTTGATAGGCCATAGAACTGGAAGCATGATGTATTTACTTGTCTGTGACTGGCGCATTTCATTTCATGTACTGTCCTCAAGATTCCTTCATGTCGTTGCATGTGATAGGATTTCTCTCTTTTTTAATGCTGAATAATAATAGTCCATTGTCTGTGCATGCATTTGCTCTGTCTATTCATATGTTAGTGGGCATTTGGGTAGCTTCCATTTCTTAATCTCCCCCTCCCCAAGACAGGATACTGAAATCCTGTGTTGCTTAAATTGGTAGTGAATTTGTAATCCAGTCCCCTGCCTCAGCTTCTGGGTGTCGGTGTTGCAGGAACTCCCCAAGAGCTGCTGCTTAGCTGTTTGCAGACTGTAATGAAGACACTTGCAGAAATACTGTCTGAAGATCCTTGTTGCAGTTACTTTGTATATATATCCTGAACAGGGAGAGGCTTCCTCTTTGGCTTTAGAAGCTTTTGGCTTCAGAGTTTTCAGTCTATAATAGATCCTTCATCTCTGCCCCTCTGAATGGCAGAATGGCAACTACATTCTGCCAAGCTTGTGTAATAATGGCTAACATGTGCATTGACAGGTTTCTCCAGCTATATGAGAACAGAAACTTTGAACTTAGTCTTACTCATTGTTGTATCTTTGGAACTCAGATTAGTGCCAGACACACAGCAGGTATTTAGTGATAAAAATTTGTTGAAGAGATGAAGTTAGATAACATTTTAATTTAAGAGACAGGATGTGGCTGTTGCTCAGGACAGCCTGAAGCTCAAGTCATCCTCCCACCTTAGCTTCCTGAGGAGCTGGGACCACAGAAGTATGCAACCACGCCTGGCTTCTTTGGTCATTCCTGTCTCCTGAGCTAAACCTGCCCTTTCATCTTCAGAACATGAGTGACGCCATGGCGATCCTGCATAAGCTGCAGACAGGCCTGGATGTGAACGTGAAGTTCACCGGTGTCCGCGTGTTTGAGTACACGCCAGAATGTGTGGTGTTTGACCTGCTCGACATTCCTCTGTATCACGGGTGGCTGGTGGATCCCCAGGTGAGTGGAAGAATTTCCGTAAACACAGGTGCAGGAACACTTACTAACTCACAAAAGTAAGGTGAATTTATATTTTCTGATACTTATTTTTTGTGTACCTTGACTTGGAATTAGCCAAACCATGAAGTTGAGAATACAGTCTCCCTAGTTTGCCCCAGGTGTCTGACCCCAACTGCAAGGAGTTAGGGTCCAACTAGAAAGTAAGATGAAGAGTACACAGGAAACTACCCTCTCCTTCTACACCACTGCCAGTTCAGAGCTTCCCTGAAACCGCCTCAAGGCCTTCTACAGTCAGGAAGCCGCCCAGCACCCAGTGAAGCATGCTGTCCTCACCTCTGGGGTTTATCCTAGGAAGGAGATGCAGGTAGTGATTCACCAAGGGTGTCTCGGAGCTTGCACAGGGGAAGCTCTGGTTCCTGGGGATGTGTCACCCTCTTGCAATTGGTGGGTGACATGTGCCCGGAGGTTGCCAGTTCTAGAACTCACTAGTCTTCAGTGCTAAGCTTTATGTCTTTGTGTGTTGGGCATGGAACCTAGTGTCTTTGCATTAAGATGCGTCCCCAGCTCCTGTACTTTTTATTTGGAGATGCAGTCTTGGTAAATGGCTTAATTGCTGGGGCTGCACAGATGACAGGTAAAGACCGTCAGTGCTGACTCCTGCATAGCTTTGGAGTCACCCCTCATTTGTATATAAGGCACTGCCAAGTCCCCATCACTCTGATGTATTGTTTTATGGCATGAGATGTTACAGTTTTTTTTTTTTTAAGTTTTATTTTGAAACCATTGTGGATCCACCTGCAGTTTTAAGAAATAACACATAGCAATCCTTGTACCTTTTAGTCAGTTTCCCTAAAGGGTAATGTTGTCAGATGTCCCTTCACTGAAGGGTTTTCTGACGCAGTGAGCTGTGGTTGGGAGCCAGGACCTCGTGCCAGGCAGTGTGCACTAGCACAGGCTGGGAGGCCTTTTGCACCCACACCTGGCACAATGATGCCAGGCAACTCAGAAACCAGGGGAAGGGGTTGGGGAAGTTCTCATCACTGAAAAGTGTGTGTCAGGAGGTTGATGTGTTTACCCTGATTTAAACATTGTGCAGTATACACGTGTATTGAATATTGCATTTCTGTGTCAGTTAAGCCTAAGTTTAGAAAATAGAATTGTGAACTACTGTACTCAGAGTAACTGAAAAGAATGCCTGGGGCTCGGCTGCTCACTGGTAGAGCACTTGCCTAACGCATGCTGTGCCCTGGACCTGACATCCCGTGGCACCCAGGAAGACAGCCGAGACCAGGAGCTGAGGTGGAGTGGAAGGAGTTTTCTTGCTGTAGACATAGAACATAATTTCACAGAAAGATTCTAAAGAAAAAGAGATGTCGTACAAATACTAATCAGAAGGTAACAGGCGTAGTGATACAAGTATAATAAGAATTACTAATGATTGAATGTTTCATTTCCCAAAAAGTCATTTTCAATGTGTATATGCCAAGACAGGAAGTTGAGCAGGATGATCGCTGCAAGTTTGAGGTCAGCCTGGGCTACAGAGCAATAACCTGTCTCAAAAAATCAACCCCCCACATACAAAAAAATGGGAGACAAATAATTAGAAAATCCTTAGGCCAAGAAAATCATAATAAAAAATTGTGAGAGGCCACTAAGACAGTTTTTAGAGGAAGTTATAAGCCTTAAATGCATACATTAGGGGCTGGGGATTTAGCTCAGCAACATAAGCACCTGTCTTGCAAGCAGGCAGTCGTGAGTTTGATCCCTTTACCGATAAAAAAAAATGCGTATATTAAAGGAAAATCATAAATATTAATGAGTTTTATATCCACTCTCACATCCCTAGTGCTTGGGATTTACTTCAGGGCCTTTGCATTAAGCTACGTTCCTCAGCCCTTTTTAAATTTTTTTTTTCCCCCCAGACAGGTTATCACTAAATTGCTGGATTGCCCAGGATAGACTTAAATTAGCCACCTTTCTGCCTCAGCCACCCAGAGAGCTGGGATTACAGGTTGAGCCACTGTACCCAGCACTGCATATCCATCTTAAAGAACAGCAAGAACTGGGCATGACGGTGCTATAATCTCAGCACTCAGGAGGCTGAGGCAAGAGGATTGCTGTCAGCCTAGGATACATAGTGACTTCACAGGGTTAGACTGAACTACACAGTGAGACCATGTCTCAAAAATCCTAAGTACCCAGGCAGAGTGGTGCATACCTCAGCATTCAGAAGATTGAGGCAAAAAAATCATTACAAGTTTGAGATTAGTCTGTGCTACATAGTGAGCTCAAGGCCAGCCTGAACTATATAGTAAGACTTGGTCTCAAAAACAAAAAGGAAAAAAGAACATTGACAAAGCTAAAATTCTTTGAAAATGAGTTTTAAATGACAGAAAAAATTTTTTAAAATATTTATATAGCCTAAGTTCCTGGCAATAAATCTGACAGAAAGATACAGAAGACCTCTCTGGGAATAATCTTACTTTTAAGTTAACGTTACATATGCAGTGAAGGGTCTTGCTGTGTTGCCCAGACTGGCTATGGACTGGGTGTAGGCCACTCTCTGGGTAGGCATGATATTGGGCATACACTCCAAACCATGGCTGTGGACCAGCTGTATTTGAGAGAAAATAGAGATGCGTGTAAATGGAGAGATAAGCTATCCTTTTAGCTTTCAAGATTGGAATTGTAGAGGTTTTGTTTTTCCTAAAAGTAGGTTATAATATCGATACAATTCAAAACCAAATCCCAGCACATGTGGTGGGTGCTGTGGAACATGGCAAGTTGTTTCTGTAACTTATGGGGAGGCGGGAGGGCCAGGAATAGAAGCCAGGATGCTTTGTTTTAGAGGAAGAGGGTTGAAACAGAGTCTTACAGGCAGTCTAGGCTGACGGAACTTGCTGAATAGCCAGGGCCTTTGCACTGAGCTGCAGTTCCAGTAAATAAGGTGTAAGGCACTAAGTTGCCCAATCTGGCTCAGACTTGGAGTCCTCTTGCCTGAGTCTCTTGCATGGTAAGATGACGGGTGTGTGCCACTGTCCAGCCAGTCAGTGTACTCTTAAAGCAGAACAAGTAGAGAGGACATTCTTGTCTTCTCCACATAGGAGATATTTTAAATATTGCAATAAGCATTAGACTGACGAGAGAAATTTCTAATCTAAAAAGACTGTGCTCACATAATCCGAAATAGGGCACTGTAGAGCAAGGCGTGACAGCAGCTCTTACTGTCAAAGGTGTGCAGACCGTAGATAGCCATGGCAGGGGAAAAAATTTGCCTCTCCCCACATAAAGTTCTATTTCGTGTACACTAAAGTTTTAACAGTAAAATACATAAATGCAAAAGCTTGAGACTGTCTTCCTGACCTTAAAATAGGAATTTCTAAAACAATACACACATCCATTAACCGTAAAGGAAACATTGGTAAACAGGACTACTGTAAAATTGAGGACCTGTGTTTACCTAAAGATACACCAATCGAAAGCCGGGCGTGGTGGCTCATGCCAGTAATCCCAGCCCTCGGGAGGCAGAGGCAGGAGGACCACTGAGTTTGAGGGCAACCTGCACTACAAAAAACCAAACCAAAACAACAGGAAGATGACATTACAAAAAGAATGTAAAAAAGCAGGCCACAGAGTACATGATGCTTTTTATGACAGAAGATCAATAGATGGTATGAAGAACTCCCACAAATAATTCTTTATTAGATAGACAACCCAGTAAAAAGAAAAAGTAAATGATTTGAGCCCCAGCTGTGGTGGTGTGTACCTGTTATTCTAGCACTTGGGAGTCTGAGGCAGGATTGCTACAAGTTCAAGGCCAGCTTGGGTTACCTATGGAGACCCTATCTCCCAAAAACAAAAAAAAGCACAGAAATGTTACATGAAATATTGAAGAGGTGCAGCATAAGAAATTCTCGTTCTTTACTGCTGAGGGTAGATGTTGGTCATCTGCTTTGGAAAAGGTGGGTTTTTCTACTGAAGCTGAGAATAAGCATAAGCTGAGAGTTAGCAATATCACAAAAGATGGACCCTGGAGACGCTGTTGGTGTGTGGAGCAGGATAAATGTACAAGAATGTTTATAGCAAAATTTGCCATTGCAAATGGCAAACAACTCAAACAGTTACCAAAAGATGAATGAAGCAGGGCATGGTGGCACATGTGGGTAATCCTAGCTGTTTGGGAGGCTGAGGCAGGAGATCACTGAGTTCAAGGCCAGCCTGAACTACTTAGCAAGACCTTAGCTCAGAGAACTAAAGGATAATAATAACCTTAAAGGAGTCTCATGTATTAGTCGGGAGTGGTAGCACAGGTCCATAATGCCAGCACTTGGGAGGCTGAGGCAGGAGGATCGTTGCAAGTACAAGACCAGCCTGAGCTACAAAAGTGAGTTGCAAGCCATCCAGGACTGCAGAATGAGACCCTATCTCAGAACAAAAAAAGTTTCATGTAATCATCATTTTTTGCATGATTGAAAGATAGCTATCTGCACTAAAAACAAAATTAAAAACTGGTAGGTGCTTATTTCAGTGGTGACTTTTCGTAAGTGATACTTGGCATTTAGTATTATACTAGGATAAAGTCATAGAGCCCGCTTTGTGTGGCCTTAGCTACCGTTTTTGCTCTCTGACTCCTCAGACCGATGACGCTGTCAAGGCAGTGGGCAGCTGCAGCTACAATCAGCTGGTGGAGAAGATCATCTTCTGCAAGCAGTCAGACGACAGCCAGCTGGTCAGTGAAGGTGGGTGCGGCCACTGCCTCTCCTCTCCCCTCCCCTCTCCCCTTTCTGTGGTCGACATTCTTGTCCCTATGTGTGACAACTTTCATGTCACCTGAGTCAGACTCCTAGAAATACCAGGAAGGCCGTTAGAGGCATTTAGAAAGCAAATTCTCATAAAATGCCAGCTAAAGGTTTGTCCTAGATCTGTTTGCACTGGATTTGTAAGGAAAGGCCTGCTAACAGTCTGAGTCCTGGGTATGGTGCTGGTGTGTGTGGGCAGTTACTCAGAGGCCACTAATAATTACTTTTTTTATAAAAATAATTATTGGAGAGTATCAGGTGGATTTTATTTCTCTTCCACACTCCAGGTGACAGAAGTGAATGTGTGGTGCTAACACACTCTCTTTCCATGAGGCATCTACCTTATGTTTCAGTACAGTGCAGCATGTCGTGAAAGCCGTCTCCAGGTCTGAGTACACCCCTGCCTGGCTGCAGTGGTGCAGGCCTATAATCTGAGCAATTGGCAGGCTGAGGCAGGTGGATTGTAGAGAGTCTGAGGCCAGCCTTTGTTGGTATTGTGAGTTCAAGGCCATTCTGAACTACAGAGTGAGACTCTGCTCCAAAACCAAGCATCACTATGGTACCAAGCATCAGTAGCTAACTGAAAATACAGATGTCTAAGCAAAAGCAGTGCACTGATTTTCAGCCACGTTCAGTGCACAGTGAGAGGAGGAGATTTTTGCCACTGGAGTGCTACAGGGGCCAGGGCATCTGGGTGACCTTCCCACCACTAGTGCCACGTCTCATGGGACACACAAGTACTGAAGCTGCGGTCCTCTTGCTTAGAGGGTACACAAGAGGAGGAGAACCAAGAGAAATAGGATGATTCGTTTACATAAGGTGTAATCAAAATTGATCCCTGTTTCCACATTTAAAAATAGTGACCACCAGAATATTTAAGAGCACACAGATGTATCCTCGAGTACTATGTTGTTACTAAGCTATCCGGATGTTGTTATTAAGCTATCTGGAAGTCTGATGCGTTTGTGCAAAAGAGGCAAGTAAGAAATTGCGTAGTATTTTAATTGAGGTGTGTCCTAGTCCAGATTGCAAAAAGCTGGTAAATATACAGGGATACTTTATTTTATTTTTATTTGTGTGTGTGTGTGTGTGTGTGTGTGTGTGTGTGTGTGTGTGTGCTCTTGGGGATTAAAACCCAGGGCTTTTGCCCTGAGTTATCCCCAACCCTTTTTGGTTTTTTACCTTGAGACAGTAGGTCACTGAGTTTCTTAGGCTGGCCTTGAACTTGTGACCCTCCTGCCTATGCTTCACAGAATGCTGGGATCACAGCTGTGCAGCACTGCACTGGGCTCCATATGGGCACGTGTGTCATCAGTTTTGAATGACAGTTCTTTCACCATAATTTAAAGCAGCAAAATTTACATATCAGGAAGGAAAAGAGCAAGAAAAGTTTTTTTTTTTTTTTTTTTTTTGCTTTTTGAGACTGTCTCGACTTGTAGTTTAGGCAGGCTCTGTGCTGGCTGTGTAGGCCAGACTGGTCTGAGTCCTAGCCTCCCATTTTACCTTCTGTGTGGTGGGATTATAGCTGTGGTGGGCCACTACACTTGCCAAGAAAACTGGCAGCACATGTCTCTGATCCTGGCGCTTGCCCAGCTGAGGCAGGAGGGTCTCTGCAGGTTCAAGGCCAGCCTGGGCTACGTAACCTAGACTGCTTTAAAATTTTCTTTCTTTCAGTGTACAGAGTTCTGCTGTGTTCAGGAGAACTATACATTTCTGTCCGTGCTCTCATTACCTTCAGTATAGTCCTTTTAAAAACCTCTAAGGAGGGGCCTGGGGATTTAGCTCAGTGGAATAAGCACCTGCCTTGCAAGCAGGCAGTCATGAGTTCGATCCCTGGTACCGATAAAAACAAAAAAGACCAAAAAAAAAAAAAACCTACGGAAGATTTCTGTAAAATCTACCTTCTCGCTAATGTGCAGTGTGCTACGCAGTGGTAGTGGAGGAGCAGTAAGATGCAGGACGCGATAGCAGACAGGATGGCTAGCCTGCAGAGAGGTGTCTGCTGAGCCAACTGAGGGGGAGGAGCGGCGACAAGTGCCTGGACGGCTGCCTGCCCTGCGACCTGCCGCAGGCTCTGCACTGCTTGATTTGGCCTGGCCGGGAGGACACCAGGTCCCTGGGGCTAGCTGCCACTTCTTTTTCCTAACTTCGTGTTAGGGATATTACTCCCAGGGTGGTGATACAGCCTTCACAGTGTTACGGGAAAACAAGGTGTCACCTCCCCCGCCCATGAGGGCATCGAGTTGAGGTGAAGTGTGCCAGGAGCACTTAGTGATTAATTCAATGGCAACACTCTCAGATTTTCATATGAAGGGATAGTGGTGTGGGAATTCGATACAGTTAAAGAACTAAACTAGCTTTTTCTTTTTCTTTTCTTTTTTTTTTTTTTTTTTTGTCTTTTCCTTTTTATCGGTACCGGGAATTGAACTCACGACTGCCTGCTTGCAAGGCAGGCGCTTATGCTGCTGAGCTAACTCCCCAGCCCTAAACTAGCTTTTTCTTTAAAGAAATTATAAATATATTATCAGTTTGAGCTGGTTGCTTGGTGTACTGGTAGGTACTTTTAGCAGACACTGAGAGTATGAAGTTGTACCCTGAGCAGGCCACAGTGGATACTTCTTGCTTAGGTTGTAGCAGGTAGCTTTCCTCCGTTCCTTCTGTTCCTCACTCTTCCTTGGCTGCAGTGTTGAGGTAGTTGGTTTTCTTTTTCTGGTTAGCTTTCAGGTGTTCCTTTCCTTTGAGTCAGTGAATAACCCAAGCTCATGTCTGGCCTTATGCAAACATTTCATTCCATATGAAAAGTACAAAGTGTGAGAAATACTTTCATGAGCATTGTTTTTTAAAGAAAAAGAAACGTTTAGCTGGTATTCAAATAGGAATAAGGATTCCTTAAACTTCTTTTCGGTAATACTTATTTTCTTTTGATGGCTGTACGTGTAAGTGAAAGCACAGAACTTCTGTAAAGTCCCTGTGTTTTGCCCCCTCTCCCAACACTGTTTGCAGTCTGGTCATCAGGACAGGCTGCGGTGTGGCAGCCAAGATCAGTAAGAAAAAACCAAAACGGGGCTGGGGATTTAGCTCAGCGGCATAAGCGCCTGCCTTGAAAGCAGGTAGTCGTGAGTTCGATCCCTGGTCCCGATAAAAATCAAAAAAATCAAAAAGACAAAAAAAAAAAAAAAGAAAGAAAAAACCAAAACGCAGCCCAGTCCCTGCTGCCAGGATTCACCTGAGCTGTCATGTAGCTGCAGATGCCCTGTCAGGAGTAACTGTTTAACAGCTGTTTCTGCAATAGAAGTATCTATCAAAAGAATTCTAGGATATCTGTCAGTTTATTCAAATATTTATTAATCCTGCATTGTCTGCTGTTGTCACTGCTGTTTAAATTCACATTATTTTTATTTTTATTAAATGATATTAATTTTCTTTCCTCAGTCTTTCATTTTGAAACACCTCAAGCCCGTATAAAAGGTCATAACAGCACAGTGGGCATTTACCTGTTGTTTAATGAAATCCGTCAATTTTTTTTTGAACTGGGATCAAACTCATGACCTCACGCTTGCCAGGCAGGCACTTGTGCCGCTGAGCTAAATCCACCAACTATTACCAGTAAACATTTGCTGACTTTTTTGTGTATTTGTTGTTTCATGATTATTTGGTTTTTTGGGGATACACTAGGGTTTAAGCCCTGGTCCTTCAAACTGAGCTCCCTCTCCAGCCTCCTCCCCCCACCCTTTTTTTTTTTTTTTTTTTTTTTTTTTTTTTTTTTTTTGGCATCGGGACCATCAGGGATCTGGAAGCCTGTGACCTTGCACTTGCCTAGCAGGCACTTACACCTCTGAGCTAAATCCCAGGCCTCCAGCTCTTCCTTTGATGATGTTTTAGTTTGGGATCTTTCTGAGTTGCCTAGGCAGAGCTTAAATTTGCAGCCCTGCCTCATTTTCCTAGAATCCTGAGAATATAGGCATATGTCAACACACTCAGCTGTTTTCTGTTTTCGGGTATTTCTACAGACACCTTTTTTTTTGTTTTTTGAGACAGGATCTCACTATGCAGTTCAAGCTGGTCCCAAACTCTCAGCGATCTTCCTGCCTCAGTCTCTTGAGTACTGGGATTACAGGCATATGCCACCATGCTTGGCACTTTCTTTTTTCTTAAATAACATGAGAATCAGTTGCAAATATAGCCTTTTACCCATAAATAATTCATGGTTTATGACCTAAGAAAAAGAAATTCTATATAAAATTCTCCCATATAGTTACAATACAACTACACCGGGAAATTTAGCATTAATACAGTATTATTAATAAATTGTTAATCCTGAGAATTCTCCAGTTTTTCCAGTAATGCCCCTTTGAGCTTTTAGTGTTTTTCAGTGTGCTGTATCCCGGGATCATCTCGTGGTCCTGTCTTCGGTCTTGTGCAGTAGAGAATGGATTTCTGATACTTTCCTATCTTCTTGCTTTGAAAGAAGACTCTTGTGGCATGGCTTACTTTTAATATAAAGTGCAGGCTGGTTTTACAGAGCAGCTCCCAGTCTGGGTTCCTCTGCACTTTCGTCATAAGTCGAGTCAAGGGAAAGGCTTTTCAGCAGCACTGCTACGTGGGTGAACTCACACTCTTCCTAGTGTACCAAACTGGAGAGCGTGAGCCCCGCTGTCCCAGGATTGGTGAGGTGTGAGTTTGATCAAGGTGTACCTGTCACTTTATTGCAGAGATGCCCTTTTGTTTTTGTAATTACTAAGCAGTTTGCTAAGTTATTTTTGAGTCAAGGTCTCACTCTGTGATCAGGCTGGGCTTGACCTCACTATGTAGCCCATGCTGGCCTCAAACCTGCACAATCCTCCTGCCTCAGCCTCCTGAGTACTAGGATGCTATGTGCCACTGTGCCTAGTTTAGGCTTTTTTTTTTTTTTTTTTTTTTTTGTACCAGGGATCGAACTCATGACCTCATGCTGGCCAGGCAGGTACTCAGTATTTTTTAAATGAATCATTTTTTTTCCTCCTATTTCCACATTCTATTGCTTTTTGCCTAATTTTAGAATCTGTCTTCCTAACTTCATCTTGCTTTTCTGAGACTGAGTCTCCAACGTAGTCCAAGCTGGTCCTCAGCACACTATTGCAATCCAGGCTGACCTTGAAACAGTGACCCCCACCCCAGTCCTGGCATCACAGGCGCATGCCCCTACAGCCCTAATTTCACAGTTTTGTATTGTTTTTAGCAGTGGTCAGATTTATTCAAGGATATAAAAGTAAAGAGCGGGGAAGAAACTGGCTCCGCAGAGCAGGCCTGAGTCCAGTGGAGAGGGAAAAAGGATAAAAGCAAACGCAGAAGGACATGCTGGTCTGGGAGACATAGGCTGATGGTAGCCAGCATCACCTTCTGCAAGGCGCTTGGGGCTTTCCTACCTTATGTGGCCCTGAGTGGCCTCAGACCCCAAACAGTGCTGGGGTTACAGAAAATACTGGGGGTTTTTGTTGTTGTTTTTGTCTTTTTGAGACAGGGTCTCCCCGTGCCTGCGTTCAGGCTGGTCTTGGGCTCACTTTGTAGCCTAGGCTGGTCTTGAATTCCAAACGATCCTCCTGCCTCAGCCACCCCAGTGCTGGGATTACAGGCCTGAGCCCCCACACCTGGCTATATACTGGTTTTTTTTAAAATCATTCTTGATGGACCATTTTATGATGGACCGTTTTGGGGAAGATAGATAATTGTTAGAATACATAGTGATCATCTGCACTGTAGTTTAAAGTACTTTAATACAAATAATAATTCTCCTAAAAAGAATTCTCTTGGTTTTAGTCTTTAGCATAATTAGTTTTTGACCTTGGGTAAATCATTCATTGTCCCAGCCCTGCTTTCTCAGTACAGCTGTGAAATAGTGTTCCAGTGTTAAATGTTTAAATCACACCTCCTCCTCCTCCAAGACTTGTCTGCCTGGCTAGGAAGGGGGCTTGCGGAGAGGGGCGAGTGGGAGGGCGCTGGTGGCCCCGCCTTTCGCTCTGTTCTGAGGGGACAGGCGCAGGGCCTCCCTCGGACGAGTGTTGTGGGGCCTTTTCCCTTCCACTGGGTGCCCACAGGGATGGGGCGGGCCGTGCGCTAGCAGCCTTTGGGAGCTTTGCTCTTCACGCTCGCGGACTACATGCTGTACCAGCGCCCTGAACAGCCGCCCCGCCTGGTCGGAGACACTGCTCTACTGGCGCAGTTCACCTCCTTGTACACTTTCGTCCCAGCGCCCCCTGCCTGCAGCTCAGTTACAGAGCCTCTCAGAACAAGGCCCCTGCCACCTTCCTGAGACCTTTCTTTCTCATTAAAGAAGAAAGGAGAAAGAAATGCAGGTTTCAAAATTATGTGTGCACCAGCCTGGCAAGCGCAATGTCCTGAGTTCGATTTCCAGTACCAAAAAAAAAAAAAAAAAAAAAGTGTGTGTACAGTTGGTTCTGTTTGCAGCAGATGCTTCCCTCATGGCTGCCGTGAATAAAGGTGGTGGTATCAGTGAACAGTGAGTCCCTGTTCCCCTGAAGGTACAGGCCTCTTATGGAACTCTGCTCACAGCGTTTTTCTCCACCAGGTTTCTGCAAGGCACACGACAGCCTTTGTTAACGGAGGTCCAGTGTTAGAAGCGCTAACCAGCACTTTCCTCCTAGGCTTGGGGAGGACATTTCAAGCAGAAAGCAGGAAGTTGTGACCAGCATGTCGTTGAGTAGACCATGAAAAGGGCACCAGTTTGTGGTATGAGAGCCGGAGCCAGGCAGAATGCTGCCTAGTTTGACCCCGGCTAGGAATGTGCGTATTAGGTTTTTGCCTGTCTCCGGATGTCTGAGAACGACTGTGACAGTGCTAGGAGCCTGGCCCCTGGGGTGCTGGTGTGTAATTCTCAGCCAGGGCAGCAGCTCACATGTAAGAACTCACAGATGACTGGATCTTTTCAGTGCACTTCAGCTTGCTGCTGTGCATTTCATTCTGTTCCAGAAAGACTAGAGAATTTCTGAACTTGTTGTCTGCGTCCAGTGGCATGTGTTGAAAGGAACTAGGGTAAAATAGTGTTTCTGTCCAGTCTCATGTGCAGAAGTCAGGCAGTCTGTGATTATCTAGAGTCTTTATTAAAAACCTAAGCAGCTCCGCTTACAGTGTTAAGGCTACTTTTCATTTCTAAACAGCCAGCCACTGGGAAAATAGTCATCTCTCCGTCCCACTGCTTAAATCCTAACCCTAACTTCTTTGCTTTAATGGATTGTTATGTCTTATGTTTCATATTGTAAGCTGTCAGAAATCCTTGTTGTAGGTGAAGTATAACGCAGCTCCGAATAACAGGTTTAGAAAGATGAGTCTTGGGGGCTGGGGATTTAGCTCAGCGGCATAAGCGCCTGTCTTGCAAGCAGGCAGTCGTGAGTTTGATCCCCGGTACCAATAAAAAGGAAAAAGACAAAAAGAAAGAAAAAGAAAGATGAGTCTCCAGTTAGGACCATCCTGTAGTAAGGAAAGTTTTGTATTAATTGGCCTTCCTACGCATGTGGAACGCAATGTGAATAAAAGAATAGTTTTTAAAATTTTTGAAGTATTCTTCCATCTAATATTATGCATTGGTTCCATAGGCTTTGTAGCTGAGCAGTTTCTAAACAATACAGCCACTCAACTGACATACCATGGATTATGTGAACTAACGTCAGCCGTTCAGGAGGGAGAGCTCTGTGTGTTCTTTCGGAATAATCATTTTAGCACCATGACCAAACACAAGGTATGCTAAAGAAATAGCTATTTGTTACTCTAAATCAAAGGGGCTTAATTTAGAGATGCATTTAATCTGCTTAAAAGAAAAAGGTTTTAGTATAATTTTCCTTAACCATCAAATTGTGAAGGTAATTATTAAGTAGTTCTTTAGAAGGAAATGAATTAGCACTTAAAGCATCATCTCAAGTTCTTGTTTTTAAATTTCACCTTCTTTTTCACAGATTACTACATTGAGAAGTATTTATTTTCTAAGGAGAAGTAGGATGATTTAATGATTGTTTATATTTGAACACTAAAGAAAATTAGAAAATGAAGGTTTGCGTTAAACTGAATGTGGTGGTGTGTGCCGCACTGCCCACTGCTCTGGAGGGGAAGCAGAAGGGCATCGACTTTCAGGCCGGCCTAAACAACATAGCAGAACTCACAATTTCAGAGAGAAGAGTCAGGAGCAGTAGTGCATCCCCGTGATCCTGGCACTCAGAAGACTGAGGCACCTGCAGTCTCAGTACTTGGGAGGCTGAGGCAGGAGGACTGCTGCAAGTTCAAGGCTGGCCAGGGCTATATAGTGAGTTCAAGGCCAGCCTGCAGCCTGCACTACAAAGTAAGACCCTGTCTCAAAAACAGAAAGAAGGCTGAAACAGGAGGATCATGAGTTCAGGGCCAGCATGAACTACTCAGTGCGACCCTGTCTCAAAAAACAAAAAAAAATTTAAAAACTAAAATTAAAAAGAAATGATCTTTATAATAGTGTTTGCTATTTTTGAAGTTATTAGTCTGACTTTAAATTTTTCCTGTAGTAGTATTTGTGGCTCTGCCAAAAAATAAACATCGCTGGACCCTTCTTCGTTACCTTTTGCATGTATCCCTTCTGTTTCACGTGGCTTCCCTGTGTGGCTGGACTGCTGTGGCAGTGCTGCTCCTCACTGTATCTCTCCTGGCCGCAGCGACACAGGATGCAGTGCAGGCACTATTCTGCTGCTGCCGTTCTCGCAGCCTCCTCCCTGCCTTGGCCACTGCTGCTCCTGCTCCTCCGCCCTATTCCCTCCCTCTGGGCTTCTTCTAGTGCTCAGGCCTGGACTTCAGCTCTGCCGCCTCTCACCCATGTTTTTGTTTTGGTTAAGAGAAAACCACAAAGTGTCAGTACACAATTTGGAGGGTAACAACAGTTAATACATTGTGAATTATTATCTTTAGGTTCTCAGAATACAAGATACTTGCATTTAATTGTCCAAACAATATCAGCACAAACTTCTTTTTAGTGAAATAAGAGAAATTAGTAGTGTAACTATCTCTACACACTCATACACAGATTATTTCTTTCAGCTTCTCACACTAGGGAGATAATGCTGTGTTTACACATGCAAGTCTGATTTATTTCATTTTTGAACACAGTCTCTAATTGTATCCGTTTGCCTATGAAAGAGACCTAGAATAGCAAAGGCAATTTTATCTTTCTTTATGACTGAGTAGTATTCCATTGTAGAAAAATACCACATCTCTTTTATCCATTCTTTAGTTGATGGGCATTTAGGTAGCTAACGAGATTTGACCATTGTAAATTGTGCTGCTATAAACCTGGGAGCACATATGTTATTGTGATACTATGTTTTTAATTTTTCTGGAATGATAACCAAAAGGTAAATAACTGGGTTCAGTAGGGCTACCAGTCTTAGTTTTTTGAGGACTCCACACTGATTTCCACAGTGGTTGCACCAGTCTGCCCTCCCACCAACAGAAGAGAAGGGTTCCTTTTTCCACACAGCCCCTCCAGCATTTGTTACTGGTTGATTTCTTAATAACAGCCATTTTTTTCTGGGGTGAGGTAGAATCTCAAGTGTTGTTTTAATTTGCATCTCTCAAATGACTTGTGATCTTGAACATTTTTTCATATATTTATTTGCAGTTTGTATTTCTTCATCTGAGAAGTGTGTATTCATCTCAGATGCACATTTTTGAGTTGGGTCTTTAAATTTGAGAAGTCTGATTTTTTTGAGTTCTTTATATCTTCTCATTAGTAATCCTTTGTGTGAGGAACAGCTGACAAGGACTTTTTCCCACACTGGGTTGTCTCTTCACTCTGTTGATGATCTCTCCTGATGTGCAAAAGCTTTTTAATAAGATGAGATCCCAGTTATTGATTATTTGTGGTATTTCCTGTGCAATCAGGACTTTGTTCATGAGGTCTTTGCCTACAGGAATGTCTTCAGGAGTTCTACCTATTGTATTTTCCAGCAGATTCAGTGTTCCCCTTTTAATATTTATATCTTTGGTCCATTTTGATTTTAGTTTAGTGCTTAATGAAAGATACGAGTGGTTTTAATCTTTGGCATGTCCAGAGCCAGTTTTTCCAGCACCATTTATTCAAGAGGCTGTCTTTCTTTTAGTGAACACGTTTTGCACCTTTGTCAAAGATAAGGTGGTTTCATGTGTCTGGAGTTGTTTCTTCTTCTGATCCGCTCCATTGATCTTTGGGTCTGGTTTTGTTTTGTTTTGTTTTGCTAGTACCACACTGTTTTAATCAAAGTAGCTTTATAGTATAATTTCAAGTCAAGGTTTGTGATGCCCCCTGTTTTGCCTTTGTTGCCCAGGATTGCCTTTACTATTCTGGGTCTCTTTTGGTACCAGATCAATTTTAGGATTGTTTTCTCTAATTCTGTGAGATACGCTGTTGGAATTTTGATAGAATTGCATTAAATTTGTATAACACTTTTGAAAGTATGGCCATTTTCACTATATTGGTTGTTCCTACCCAAAAGCAGGGGATATCTTTTTATTTTTAATGTCCTCTTCCATCTCTGTTCAGAGTAGTATACTTTTCAATGTAGAGGTCTTCTACATCTTTCATTAGATTAATTTCTAGGTATTTAATTTTGGGGGATGCTGTTGTGAAATGTGTTGTTTTCCTGATTTCTCTTTCAATGAGTTTGTTATTCATGTACAAGAATGCTATTGATTTTTGAGTGTTGACTTTATATTCAGCTACACTACTGAATTTGCTTGTGAAATCTACCAGTTTTTAAAGAAGCACTTCTAACATGAGGTTGGCACTAAAGCTACCTCTTTTCTCCTTAAATCAATGGTTCTTAACTTAGTTTGTCTACGAGAACTTCTTACGGAGCTTTTAAAAAATTACTGATGCCCAGAACATGCCACTAGTTCATTTAAATCTGAGTCTCAGCAGGGATCTGAGCGCCAGCTACTTTGGTTTTGGTTTGGGGTTTTGTTTTCTTTTGTGGGGAGTTGCGTTCCCAATACTGGAGATCGAGCTCAAGGCTGTGTGCGAGGCAGGTGCTCCGCCGCTGAGCGCAGCCCCATGGGATGGGATCATTACGTGAACATGTCAGTCATGTGATTTTTATGTAGTACAGGCATGGAGAGAGAGCTAATTTGTAATTTTAGGTTCGGGAGTCTATTGAGGTGGGTTCAACAAAGAGTAGAAGAACAATTGCAGAAATAAATGCAGAACATCTTTCTCTCTCTTCTTAGGATAATGGGAACAGTGTCAGAATAGCCAGTCACCATTTATTACAGAGGCCACCAAAGCAGAGCAGTGGCACTGTTGCTGGAGTGGTTTACTTACATGCTGTGTTGTGTTTTCACCACGCTAGGGATCAAACCCGTAGTCTATTCATGCTCGTCTCGCAAGTGCTGCTCTTCCCCTAATTTGCAAATTAGAGAAATCACTGTTTGGAAAACGAGACATTTAACAATTTTTAACACTTTACTTTTTTCACTTTCCATACTTTTGTTGCTTACCCTTGTGTAGGTATCACTAAATAAGAATGTTCTCCTTTCAGATCTCGGTATTATTTTGTATTGAATAGTCAGCTACAGTTGTTAATGCTGTCTAAGACTCCCCAAGGGCCTTGCAGATGGTTCACTCTAGCCTGTATCCAGTTGGGGAGTCCACTGTTGTGACCCCAGTGTAGTGTCTTCAGGGAGCTACAGCCGGTGGGCTGTTTATTTGTGCCTTGTTGCTGTCCTCCCAGCATTTTGCCCTCAGTTTCATTATACGTCTTTCCAGTCTTGCAAGTTTCAGACAGTACATTGCTTTGTTGCTGGCAGAGTCCCCACTGAGTCAACTTCTTCCTCCCTGACCCCCGAGTTCTGATTATCTATCTGGTTTACACAGAATCACTTCTGGTGATTTTGGCTTTGGATGTAGGGCCAGAAGCCCGACAGGAATGCTATAAATCTCCTGGAGCAAGTGCTGGGGTTGTAGCTCAGCACTAGAATACTTGCTTTGGGTGTGAGAGGAGCTCGGTTCAATGTCCGTACCAAAAGAAAACCCTAAACTAAAACAAGAGTCGGATGTAGCTGCACCTCAGGTGGCTGATAGCAGAGGATCATGTTAGCTGAGGGCTGGGACCAGCCTGAGCAACAAAGCAAGACCCTATCTCAAAAAAAAAGGGGAGGGGGGCTGGGGATTTAGCTCAGCGGCATAAGCGCTTGCCTTGCAAGCAGGCAGTCATGAGTTCAATCCCTTACCGATAAAAAAGAAAAAAAAAAAAGTTGGGTACTTACACCTGTAACCCATGCACTTGAAGCTGAAGCAGGAGGGTTGCAGCTGGTTTGAGGCCAGTCTGATTAAGGCAAGACCCTGTTTCAAAAGATAATAAAAATTCCCTTTGATGAATTTTTTTTTTTGGTAAGAGGCAAACTAAACACTAAAATGATTGGATAGAATGGAAGATGATGCCTTTGTCCCATTACATTTTAGCATTATTCTCTCCCATAAATTTCTAGGCTTTTAGGCTGTTCCTTATAAACTTGAGCCTGAGGTAATCTGTGATCAAATAAGGATGTATGTAGTTCAGCATACTGACATACCTGTAATCTCAGTGCTTTGGGAGGTTGAGGTGGGGGGAAGTTGTTTTTTTTTTTTTTTTTTGAGTCAGGTTCCCACTGTGTAGTTTGATGTGACTTGGAACTGACCGTGTACCTCAGACTAGCCTCAGACTCACAGTGATCATCCTCCTCAGCCTCCCAAGGGCAGGGATTGATGTG